CCATGCACCGCGTTGCTGCAGCGGGATGCACCGTGCACCGCGTTGCTGCAGCGAGCTGCGACAAATGCGCGGCACGCACCGCGTTGCTGCAGCGAGCGGCGACAAAACGCAGCGTGCACAGCGATGCTGCGGCGAGCTGCGGCGTGCACAGTGCTGCTGCAGCAAGCTGCAGCAAGCGTGCAGCATGCACTGTGCTGCTGCAGTGAGCTGCAGCGTGCATGGTGCTGCTGCAATGAGCTGCAGCCTGCACCGCGCTGCTGCAGTGAGCTGCAGCAAGCTGCAGCCTGCATGGTGCTGCTGCAATGAGCTGCAGCAAGCTGCAGCATGCACCGTGCTGCTGCAATGAGCTGCAGCAAGCTGCAGCATGCACCGTGCTGCTGCAGTGAGCTGCAGCAAGGTGCAGCTCGCCGCAGCATGCATGGTGCTGCAGCAGCAGGGCGCAGCGCAGCGCGGTGCAGCAGGGTGCAGCCTGACGCGCCCGTCCCCCCCGTTGCAGCCGGCGCCGCCGCAGCGCGCGCACTCGGCCGAGCGGCCCCGCTGCAGCGCCGGTGAGAGCTCCCCCCCCCGCCCCGGCACCATTCCCCATGGGAATTCCGGTGGGAAGCAGCCCAGCGGGAGGGAATCCCCGGGGGGGGGAATCCCAATGGGAGCTGAGCCGGGAATCCTGCCGGGAGCCCATCCCGATGGGAGCAATCCCAATGGGAATGTCACCGGGAATCCATTCTGATGGGAACAATCCCAATGGGAATGTCAGTGGGAATCCATCCCGATGGGAACAATCCCAATGGGAACGTCAGTGGGAATCCATCCCGATGGGAGCAATCCCAATGGGAATGTCAATGGGAATCCATTCCGATGGGCCCCCATCCCAATAGGAATGTCACCGGGAATCCATCCCGATGGGAACAATCCCAATGGGAATGTCAGTGGGGATCCATCCCAATGGGAGCAATCCCAATGGGAATGTCAGCGGGAATCCATCCCGATGGGAACAATCCCAATGGGAATGTCAGTGGGAATCCAATGAGCCCCTATCCCAATGGGAATGTCAGTGGGAATCCATCCCGATGGGCCCCTATCCCAATGGGAATGTCAATGGGAATCCATCCCAATGGGTCCCTATCCCAATGGGAATGGCGCTGGGAATGCCGGCGCATTTCCCCCGCTTCGCTCCCTCCCACAGCAGCTCCGGCTCCGGCTCGGGATCGGGATCGGGATGCGCCGGCGGGGGCGGGGCGGGGGCGGCGCCCTCCCGGGATGCTGCCGCTGCCGGACGCGGCCGCCGGGATCCAGTGGGACAGCCTGGTCAGCGCCGCCCGGGAATACGAAGGTAGCGGCGGATCCGGGGCTCCGGGAACGGCCTGGGCGATCGGGAGCATCCGGGGGGATTCTGGGATTCAGGAGCATCCCAGGGGATCCAGGAGCATCCAGGAGGATTCTGGGATCCCGGATTCAGGGGCATCCCCGGGGGATTCCCGGCCGGATTCCCGGGGGATTCCTGCCCTCAGGAATTCCGCACTGGGGCCATTCCCCGGACAGAGGCTCCGGGCGCTCCCTGGCCCGGGAACATTCCCGAATCCGGGGGGGGCAATTACAGNGGTGCATCCTATTGCATCCCATTTTATTCCATTACATCCCATTGCATCCTGCTGCATCCCGCAGTGCAACGCGCCGGCTCCCTCTCCTCCTTGGCTGAGGCTGCTCCGAGCTCCGGGAACGCCGGGAATGCCGGGAATGGCACCAGGTGAGATCCAGGGATAAGGAGTTGGGGAGATGGGGCAGGACACAGGAATGTCTCCCAGCATTCCCGGCGTTCCCAGCGTTCCCACTGTCGTCCGGTGTCTTTCCAGCATTCCCAGTGTCCCTCAGCATTCCCAATGTCTCCTGGTGTCCCCTGACATTCCTGGAGTCCCCCGGCATTCCCAACATTCCCAGTTTCCCAGTGTCCCCCGGCATTCCCAGTGTCCCCCGGCATCCCCGCAGCATTGCCGGCATTCCCGGTGTCCGCCGGCATTCCCAACGTTGCCGGCATTCCCGGTGTTGCAGCGCGGCGCTGCGGCGGGACCTGCCGGGACGGGTGCGGGAGCTGGAGGCGGCGCTGCGGCGGCTGCGGAGCCTCCTGGAGCAG